GCCGCTGGCAGCGGCGCCGAGCCGGGGCCGCGCCGCCTCAGCCGCCGGCGGCCATGGCTGATGGGGGGCTGTGCGGTGCCAGCGGCCGGGGTGCTGCCCGTGGGCCGGCGGGACCCGCAGGATGGAGCTCGGACTGACGCAGCCAGGCGCTGTGCTGTCCGGTCTCCGCAGCAGGGGACAAACTTTATTGCCATTTCCCGAGGCCCCCCGCTTGGGCACGTTCCCAGTTTCTCCACCACCTCTGACCTAACCCAAAGATAGAGCTCGTGGGGCTGCCTGGCCAGGATTTAGGGAGCTGTTCCCAGAGCAGCCCGTGACCAGACTTGGTGGTATCACAGCGGGAAAGCGGAACAGACCAGGCTGCACCTTCAAGGAACGGCTCCCTCCGTGCTCCGGCACAGCTAGCGAGAGATAACAAACACAAGCCCAAGGCAAAAGCAGAAGACTGCCGGCAGGACCCGCTGTCTCCTTCCCTTTAGGCTAAGGAGAGAGCGAGACGTAGAGGAGGGTGGCCACAATCATGCCGATGCTGAAGAGCACGGTGAGGACGCGGGGCACGGCGCTGGAGCGGGCAGGGCGGCGGGCGGCCCGCGGCTGCAGGGCGCTGACCACGCGCTGCCGCTGGCTGAGGATGGCGGCCCTGGCTCCCGCCCAGGCGCCCGGGCCCCGCAGCCGGTACTGGTACGGCGTGCAGGGACCGAAGGCCACCTCCATGGCCAGCTTGGGGTCCGTGAGGAACAGGGAGAGCAGGTTGGGCTTGACCCCCAGCTGGCAGGCGAGCTCATCCATGTAAGGGATGTAATCCACCTGGATGGTGTGCCGCTGGCTCTGCACGTACCTGCGGGCAGGGAGGGCAGGAGGGTTTGACACGGGGAGCACCGCGGGTAAGGGTGGCAGGGCCGTGCTGCACAGGGGCCTTACCGCTGAGCCATTCTCTGCTTGGTTTGTGTGATTTCGGCCAGCATGTCGGCGGGCGGCGGCAGGCCCTGCAGCCCTGGGCAAAAGGAGGCTGGAGCTGGAGGTGGGCTGTGCTCCTGCCATAGTCTGGATGGCGCTGCAGCCCAGTTAGGGGCAAAGTGGGAGACATGGGCAAAGAAAGTAACAGCAGGAAAGGAAAGGGAGAATGTGGTTGCAGGCAACAGGGCCAGTTAGTGACCCCCACAAGAGAAGAACAGTGCAAGAGCCGTAGAAAAAGGCAAAGCGGGGTTTTGTCCTCATGAAGAAGCCAAAAGAGGATAAAAAGGTGAGTGTGGAGAGGCAGCATGTGAGGGGATGTCACCAGCAATAACTCAGTCGTGGCTGGGGGAGCCCAGCTGCATCCCCCAAACTGCCCTGACTCACCTTTGAAGACGTGGGTGGCCCAGCGACTCTGGAGCTCTGAGATGGGCATGATGGCTCCCCAGGGCTGGATGAGGCCGATGAAAGCCAGCGTCGGCTTCTCCAGCTCAGGGGGAAACATGAATTTGTAGAGGGTAATCTGGTTCTCCACCACTTTCACACAGCTCTCAAGGAACGGGAAGGAGAAGCTGTAACCTGTGGCAAAAACTACGGCATCGACGTCTTCCCTGGTGCCATCCTCAAAGATGGCAGATGTCTCTGTGAACTCCTGGATGTTCGGCTTCACCCGCACCCTGCCTGAAATGATGCGGTTGGGCAGGTCATCGTTGACAGTGGGGTGCTGGTCAAGGATCCTGGAAGGCACAGACAGGCCTCGTTCAGGCCCTGGCAGGGGGACGGGCATTGCTGGGGCACGTACCTGGGGTGCTGCTGGGGCCCTCACCCGTGCTTGGGCTTTAGGCCATAGAGGGTGTGGTCAAAACGAGCATTCAGCTTCCACTCCATGAAGAAATTCTTGATACTTTGAGGCAGCAGGTTCTGGAGGAGCTGCATGAAGCGACTGAGGTAGCTGATATCGAAGGGGTACCCATTGTCCGCCACCCGGTGCAGCACCCAGGACCCTCGCCTGGTGCTGAGGAAAACCTGGAAGGAAGGTGAAGAGAGGTGGTGGCACAGCAGCATGCTCAGACTGGGCTGGGCCCCTGCTGTGCTCCAGGGACAGGGAAGCCAGCACAGCTACTGGGACCACAGTAGCCACCCCCACAGAGAGGGAACAGGGTGCTGGTGCCAGGTGCTGGAGGTTGGGGAGCCCACAGGGGATGGCGGGTGGTGATCGGTGCCCTCTGGGGTCCCGTCCCTGTGAGCTCTCCCTGTGAGCACACCTGCTTGGCTGTGTGGCTCAGCTCCACTGCGATATCGATGCCTGAATTCCCAATGCCAACCACGACCACCCGTTTTCCCCAAAAGGGCTGAGGACTCTTGTAGTCCCGGCTGTGCAGGTATGAGCCCTCAAACTTCTCCAGCCCTGGAAGAGAGAGGGAAGCCATGCTGGGCTGGGATGTGGAGCAGGAGGGTGGCTGCCCCCTGTTCAGGCTGGTGGTGTGTTTTGGGAACAAGCTGGCACCAGTGTGACCAACCGGAGTTATGCAGCCCTGGGGTGGTGCCCAGAGAGGTGGTGGCATCACCAGCATGGAAGATTCTCAGTGTAGCCCTGAGGATCCTGCTCTGGCTTTGGGACTAGCCTGGCTTGGAACAGGGCTTGGACTGGAGAATTCCATGCTTCCATCCCAAAATTCTGCTGCAGATCCTGTCTGGTGCCATGCATTGCCAGTAGAGGAACAACCAGGGTCTGTGCCATCTCGCCAGACCCTGGTGACAGTGTGCTCCAGCCTGTTCCCCAGCCAAAGAGGGTCTCCACAGCTGAAAGCTCTCCAGGCTTTTCCTCCTGGCACCAGGAGGCAAGACCACCACCAGTGCTGAGCCCTCCAGCCTTGGTGAGGAGCTGGAGGGCCCAGCAGGTGCTTGGCCAGCAGCATGAGAGGGAGCCTGTCTCAGGTGGGAGAGACACGCTGGCAGTGGTGACATCTGCCAGCAGGATGCTTTGGACACTCATGCAATCCCACCTGGTGTGTTGAAACTGCAGAGGCATTTAGGGATGCCAAGGAGCAGGCAAGCAGCCCACAGGCAGTACCTGGGAAGGAACTGAGCGGGAGATGAGCGTTGGTGTGGTGCCCACTGCACACCAGCACGGCATCGAAGACGGCCGCCTCCTGCTTCCCCTCGCTCTCCGTCACCACCTCCCACTGCCCGCTGCTGGCGAAGTCGGGGCGCTTGGACACGCGGCACACGCTGGTCTGGCACAGGGGAGCGGTGTCAGGCACCCTGTGCCCCCGTTCCCGCTGCCACCTCCCGCTCGGCCCCCGGCCCTCACCCTGAAGCGGATGTGGCGGAGCAGGTCGAAGTGCTGGGCGTACATGCGGAAGTACTCCATGATCTTGGAGTTGTGCATGTAGTTGGGGAAGTCCTCAGGGATGGGGAAGTCGCTGAAGCACATCATCTCCTTGGAGGTGTTGATGATGACGGAGCGGTAGATGCTGGCACGGCCGTCCTCGGGGTGCTCCTGTGGGAGCGGGGCACAGCTCAGCGCTGCCCAGGGAATGATGGGCCACTTGCCTGCCGTGCCTGGAACCTCCTCCATGGGTGCAGGATTAGGTCACAGGTTGTTGTAGCACCCATCCCTGCACCCAGAAACTCTCCTGTGGTTGAGACCCCCCCACCCCAAAAAACAGGGATGTATCTCTGGACTGACGGCAGTGGTGACAGTGAGTCATGGTGGTCTTGTGCCTCAGTTTCCCCACTTGACCCTATGAGGTAGTGCACTCCCAAAGCTCCTGTGGTGCCATTGCCCTGGCTGCCACATCAGGTCTCACCAGTTGTGGAGCGAGCTCCAGTGCTTCCTGGTGAGTGGTTGCTTCTGCTTACCAGGTCTGTGCCTTGACAACTGGGTGCTCCAGCTCTGGTTCTGCTCCACCAACCCTGTCCCTGACAGGTAGAACTAGTGGACTGTGACAGATCCACCCCAGGCCCCACTCTGGCATGATGCCACCTGTGTCCCCCCAGGGCTCTCCCACATATCAGGGCATGGTGGTAACACTGGTGATTTTGTTGGTGGGTCCATGGGATTAAAGTCAGCAGCCTCATTAGGTGGGGGCAGAGACGAGCTCCAGGATTGCTCCAAGACAGGGAGAGCCAAGGCACAGAGAAGGCAGGACATAGTATCTCTGTGTGGGTGAGTGGCACAGAAACAGAAAGAGGAGCAACCATGATTCCAGGAAAGGGCTGGGCAGGACAGGGACAGACTGGGGTCAGATAAGACAAGATAGGTAGGCAAGGGCTGGTAGTGACCAAGAGCAAAATAGCAGAGGAAGGTGTAGATAAGACTTGTGGGGAAGGGAGGAATGGGAAAGGGGAAATCTGCGCTGGGGGAGCAAGCCATGGAGTGAAGTCCTTGGGGAGGCTTCATCCTGCTGGTGGTGAGCAGGAGCTGGGTCCTATGTGTCTGGCACACCAGCTGGCACCACGCTGCCAAATCAGTTTTTCTTCCCTTGGTTTTCCTTGGAAACCTGCCTGCCGCACACATGCAAAGCAGGGGAGCACTGCGTCACTATCTGCCAAGGACCGATCCCAAGCCCGTCCGTGCTGCTGCCAAGGAGCAGGCTGGCTGCTCAGGGCTTACCTCGAAGCGCCAGAGCCCCCCGATGTCCTTGCTCCTCTCAAAGCAGGTGGGCTCCAGCCCCTCATCCAGGCAGCATTTCAGGGCGCACAGGCCGGAGGCACCGGCACCGATGACGGCTACTCTCCGAGGAGCCATGTCCCCCAGCGTGGTGGTGGCAGGGATGTGGGAGAAGCTGTGGCCAGGAGTTGCAGAGCCAGGCACGTCCCTCAAGGGAGGCTGCCTGGTGCTGCTCGTTTTGAGGGTGACTGTCCCTGTACTTCCTGTGGGCGGCCAAGATGTCACAAGATGTTCTTCCAGACATGATCTACAGGTTTCTCTCACCTGCCTGCCACACCTCCTGGCCTGCCCAGCCCTCTGCAAGAGGCATATTAAATTCTGTAAGCTTTTAATGATGCCGACACTGCCCCAGGACTTCCTGGGCAGGATAGAGATGTGGCTATGCTTTGGATTTCGGCAGGTTTGGTGTGGAAGACAAACCTAGGGGATGGGGGGGGGGGGGGGGGGGGACTGGCGTGACCAGCCCAGGCATCTGATGGACAGGATGCCTATTTGGGTCCCCAGCCCACCCAGCCACCTTCTGGAAGAGCTGTGTGCAGGTGACCAGGGTGGCACTGAGCCATGCCACGTGACCACCAGGACCCGCTGTGGCGGGATGCACCTTGGAAGAGGCTGTCTTGCTGTGGAGCGTGTGTGCGTGTCAGCCTATGGTGTAATAGGCCAGTGCTACAAGGCCGATCTCAAACCCATGAGCATTCCCACAGCACACGGAGGGTCATGGTGGCGTCAGTAACAGGACAGACACTTGGCCGTTTATTGCATTCATCCACTTAGAAAGTGTGCTGTGCCTTTGCTGCTTAGCTCTGGTGTGTGTGTGGCACAGCTGGGTTACAGGGGACAGAAAAGCCTGGAGCGCTGGCTGAGGAGAACTGGAATTTAGCCTGCAGTGAGCAGGTTTCCTCCTCTGTCCATGACAGCATTCCCCAAGGGGAGGTGCAGAGCAGGAGCCCAAGCATTATTTTGGCAGCTGGGGAGGTTCTGTGCATCCCTAGTTCATGGTGTGGTCACAGCTGAGCTGTGCCAGGCAGAAGCAGGTTTCTGCCATCACTGGGGTGCACAGGCTGCCAAGGGGCAGGGGTGGCCAGCCAGTCTTGCAGCCAGTCTTGCAGCAAAGCTGTCCTTGTTTAGGGAGTCACCCCAGGACAAAAGCCTCCCTTCCTGCGCTTGCAGGGCACCTACAAGTAAGCAAATACAGCTGCCAGGATGGCCACAGCCCCGATCAGCTTGAAGATGAGGGGCATGGCAGGGGCTGAGGTGCTCTCTTCCACGTGTCGTGTCTGCAGGGGCTTGAGGATGCGCTGCCGCTGGCTGAGGATGGCGGCCCTGGCTCCCGCCCAGGCGCCCGGGCCCCGCAGCCGGTACTGGTACGGCGTGCAGGGACCGAAGGCCACCTCCATGGCCAGCTTGGGGTCCGTGAGGAACAGGGAGAGCAGGTTGGGCTTGACCCCCAGCTGGCAGGCGAGCTCATCCATGTAAGGGATGTAATCCACCTGGATGGTGTGCCGCTGGCTCTTCACGTACCTGCGGGCAGGGAGGGAGGGCAGGTAGGTGCTGGAAGAAGAGCTGGGCAGAGGCCTTGCACATCAGGAAGGACTGGGTAGTGTGGCCAAAGACATCGCTGCCCTCTGTTGGCACACACAAATGTGCCAGGATGCATCCATGGGACAGGATGGGTGCCCATGAGCAGCTGTGCCGAGGGCAGCCCCTTGGTGCTCCCACAGGGATCTTACCGCTTTGCCATCGCTTCTTTCTTCTGCTCAATGTCAGCCTCCATGTCGTGCTGCAGAGGCAGCTCATTCAGCCCTGGGGAGGATGAGACACAGCGGCCACTGTGGTGCTGGCCTTGCCTCGGTGCTGCGCCTCTGCCAGCACCACCATGGTGGTCTTGCACCTGAGGCATGTCCACGGGATGGGAAGGAGCAGCCTGTGGAGCTCAGGGTATGGATGTGCCTGTGCCTCTCAGAGAAGAGGCCATCTCACTGTGACAGCCACAAGGCAGCAGTGCCATGACCATGCCCAGGATGGCACAACCAGCTGCTGCCTTCTCAACATGGCTGGGCACCATCTGCCCTCACTCCAGGACTGCATCCACAGGGCAGGTTTGCCTGACTCACCTTTGAAGACACGGGTGGCCCAGCGACACTGGAGCTCTGAGATGGGCATGATGGCTCCCAGGGGCTGGATGAGGCCAATAAAAGCCAGTGTTGGCTTCTCCAGCTCAGGGGGGAACATGTATTTGTAGAGGGGAATCTGGTTCTCCACCACCTTCACGCAGCTCTCAAGGAATGGGAAAGAGAAGCTGTAACCTGTGGCAAAAACTACGGCATCGACGTCTTCCCTGGTGCCATCCTCAAAGATGGCAGATGTCTCTGTGAACTCCTGGATGTTCGGCTTCACCCGCACCCTGCCTGAAATGATGCGGTTGGGCAGGTCATCGTTGACAGTGGGGTGCTGGTGAAAGACCCTGGAAGGTGCAAGAAGCCATTAGGGCACTGGGAAGGGAGTGCCTCTGCTCCGTGTCCTGCTCCAGCTGCTGCTCCCTACTCTGGGGCAGCTGCCCCCACACTGCTGTCTCCAAGAGTCCTTGGAAGGGGCAGTGGTGGCTCCCTCAAGCATTGCCTGGGCACAACAAAATAATAACCCAGTCCAAGCACAGGGAGCAGGGAATGCCAAGCTGGGCAGGACACAGAAGGAGGCAGACGATCCCTTCTGGGCAGGAGGAGTGTTTGGTGATACCTGTGCTTAGGCTTCAGGCCATAGTGTGAGTGATCGAACCTGGCATTCAGCTTCTTCTCCATGTAGTCACATGCCATGGATGAGCTGACCAGCCCCTGCAGGAATGTGTTCAGGCGAGTGGTTAAGATGGTGTCCATGGGGTAGCCCTGATCTGCGACACGGTTGAAGATCCACGCACCCCGACGGGTGCTGAGGAAGACCTAGACAAGGAAGAAGGATCACTGGCTGAAGGCAGTGGTCATCCTGGGAAGGCTGCCCTTGAGGGGACGTGCCCTTGCCCTGGAATCACTCTGCTTTTTGCTGCCCAAGCACTGGGTAAAGACCCAGAGGGCATCTCACAGGGGAATGGGACCAAGTCTCAATTGCCTGGCAGTTGGCATTGGCAGGAGCCAGCATTGCCAAACACAGCAAGTGCTGGCATGGAGAAGCAGCTGTGCAAGTGTCTTGGTCCTGGTGTCCCTGCAGAGCTGACAGTGTCCCACAGGGGCAATCCTGCCCACCGGGACCCTACTCCTGCTTACCTGCTGGGCTGTTTGGCTGATCTCCACAGCCAGGTCTGACCCTGAATTCCCGATCCCGATGACAACAACCCTTTTGTCTGTGAAAGCTCGAGCATCCTTGTAGTCTCGGCTATGGAGGTAGCGGCCCTTGAACTTCTCAATTCCTGTGAGCAGAAGGAAGAGGGATGCTTGGCTTCCTGGTGCCAGGTTGGAGGATCACCCCCTAAAGACTGGAGATGCTCCCTTACCTCACCAAAGCACTCCTGGGGAGCAGAGGAGCACTCCTGGAGTCAAAGCAAGGCAGGGAAATGTTGGGGCTGGGGGGAAAGCAGCAGGGAGAACAGGGACTGGCGTGGACTAGCTTTCTAGTGTCTCTGGTGTCTGCTCACACCAGTGTACAGGGCAGTACCTGGGAAGGAACTGAGCGGGAGATGTGCATCGGTGTGGTGCCCACTGCACACCAGCACGGCATCGAAGACGGCCGCCTCCTGCTTCCCCTCGCTCTCCGTCACCACCTCCCACTGCCCGCTGCTGGCGAAGTCGGGGCGCTTGGACACGCGGCACACGCTGGTCTGGCACAGGGGAGCGGTGTCAGGCACCCTGTGCCCCCGTTCCCGCTGCCACCTCCCGCTCGGCCCCCGGCCCTCACCCTGAAGCGGATGTGGCGGAGCAGGTCGAAGTGCTGGGCGTACATGCGGAAGTACTCCATGATCTTGGAGTTGTGCATGTAGTTGGGGAAGTCCTCAGGGATGGGGAAGTCGCTGAAGCACATCATCTCCTTGGAGGTGTTGATGATGACGGAGCGGTAGATGCTGGCACGGCCGTCCTCGGGGTGCTCCTGTGGGAGCGGGGCACAGCTCAGCGCTGCCCGGGGAACGATGGGGAAGGATGACAGGGGCTGGTGAGGTGCTTCTCTTCATGGAGCCCCTGCCCTCAGTCTCACCCAGAGGATCCCACCATGGCCAGCTGCCACCCCACCAGCCACCACGGACCCCTGAGGGTCACCGTGCTGACCCCAAGCAGGGGTTGCCAGCAGGGTTTACCTCAAACCTCCAGAGGCCTCCGATGTCGCCGGTCCTCTCGAAGCAGAAGGGCTCCAGCCCCTCCTGGAGGCAGGCTTTGATGGCGCACAGCCCGCTGCTGCCCCCGCCGATGATTGCCACCTTCTTTGCCATGCTGCGCTCCATCGCCGCGCTCCTGCCTGGGGACAGCGTCGGACAGCGGGACTGAGCTGCCAGGGGTGCAAGTGTGCGAGACTTTGATCCTGCTCAAAGAGGTCCCAAGCAAGAGAGGCAGCCCCTCAAAAGTGTGTCTGGGGTTGCAAAGCCACTGCTGTCCCCCACCAGGTGTGGACCTGGCCAGTGCTGGGTTTTGCACTTACTGTGGTGGTGCCTCTGGTTGCCTTGAGGAGAAATCCTACCGAGCGTCAGGGAGCCTCAAAATCTCCCCGCCCATGCCAAGTCCCGGCGATGGAGGTGCCCTGAAGTGCTGTGCCCTGCTGTGGGGACCGACGGCTCCCTCCCGGGTGGGTGACAGCCCCTCTGCCTGCCCTTTGCCCTCTCCCTTCCTCGGGGAGATTCCTGTTGTACTGTCCCGGTGCCTGCTGCGAGCCGGCAGCTCGGGGGACACCCTTCACCGACCTGCGGCCGTGGGACGAGCAGCCCAGGGAAGGCTGGCGGCGGGCACGGGGCCGTGCGAGGGTCTCTGCCGGGGTCCCCGGCCCGTGACGCCGGCCCGAGGCCTGGCTTTACGGTGCGCAGCGTCCGGGAGCGGGGCCTCCCCCTCCGTCACTCCTCCCACGGGCGCGGGGAAAGGAAGCCGGACCCGGCTGGCTCCCGGCCGCCTGCACGGCTGTTCCGGCAGCGGCGTCGCCGCAGCCTCGGCCGGCGGCCGGAGGAGCCGTCCCAGGCGCTGCGCGGGGACACGGACACGCAGCCGATCCTTGTGGTTGCGTGCTTGGTAAACAAACGCTGTCCTGGACTTTGGCGCTAGGATTATCAGGATCAGCCCACGCCCGCTTATTCTGGTACCCGGAATGACACACCGCTCTGGCTGCTCCAGTGGCAGCTGGCACTGTATCGCCCACATCCCCCGTGCCCCTGGGCTGGGCATGTCGGCACAGTGTCCCCATAGCCACGGCTCACCCCTGGGCTAGGAGTACCACGCAACTGGGGTGTCCCTGGTGTGAGGGTGGTGGCACCAGCAAGGAAAAGGCTGTCCCTCACAGCAGGAGGCACAGACCAGGTGGATCCAAACTTGCTGCTGGCTCCTGGCACTCTCACAGCCAGACAGCCCCTGAGGCTGCAGGGGAAATCTGCTCTTCCATATGCAGAGAACTTTGCTGTAGAGTTGAGCAAGGCAGAGGGGCCAAGCTCTGCAGATGAAATGGTTTTAATCTTCTAAAACTCTAGTATGTTTGCAGTAAGCTTAATAAAACTCCTTCTGTCCCTTGCTGTCAGCAAGGGCTGATCTCTGCCCGGGGCAGAGGTGCTGAGCTGCCAACCCACACTCTGTGCCTGCCTGTCAAAAAACATCAAAAGTATCTTACCAAGCAAGGGATCAGCACAGGAATGGAGAGCTGGCAGCACTACTCTTCCTGCTCTGCTGTCAGCTGGCTTCTGGCTCTTGCAAGCTCTGCACAGACTGCCCAAGGGCAATAGCTACAGGAGACTTCTCTGAGCTCTCCAGCGCTCTGCTGTTGCTATGAAACCTCTGTGCAGGTTGCCTCTGAATTTGCCCTTCTCCCTGCAGGAGGCTGCATAGCCCTGGACTTTACCCCCCTGTAGCTGGACTCTGTACAGACAAACTGTGCTGTTGGGCAGCAGGGTCATGACATGCCATTTTGGTTTAGGTTGGTATTTGGTTGGTTGATGTCTGTGGAAATTCACAGTTGCCATACCTGGCAAGCACCCAGGATGTAGATTGTGTGCAGCAGTTTCTGCTGCACAGTGTCTGCTCTGGGCTTCCACAGCAGGCAGAAATGCCGTGGGACAAGTGGAGCAGAAAGATCCTCTGTCCTATCAGTGGGCTGCACCCATGCTTGGAGGTGGCAAGCACAGGAGAGCAAAGGTCTCTCTGGTGGAGACAGAAGCTTAGAAGAGCTGAGAGGGTGGCCAGGCAGCCTGTGACCCAGCAGGGCTGTGCAGTGCTGGTGGTGGGTGCTACCAGCACCTCAGAGTGTCATGCAAGTGAGTCATAAGCAACTTTTTGGCACACACGAGTGTGGGAGCCACAAATGCACAGGTTGCTGTTGTACCCTCCATGACGTAGAGAGGAAGATCCCAACAGCTCTAAGAACAGACTCTAAGTGCAGACAAAAAAATGCAAAAAATGTGTTTTGGAAAAGGTAGAGCAAAGATGTTTTGGCACAGCACAGCAAGCCCTGCCCACCCAGAGTGTGCCACCTGCCTGTGCTCTCACAGCCACCACAGGGCTGGTCCTCTGCCTCGGGGCAGGAGGGCTGTCCCAAGTGTCCTGGTGCTGTGTGCAATTGCCAGACTGGCCCAGCTGGCTGCCAGGCATGCAGTGCAACCCAGGGGATTATTTTTTGGTTACTGCAGCACCAACCCAGACCTGGAAGCTTCACTGGCTCACCCTGTCAGTGGGTCAGCGCTCAGCTTCAGGGGAACCTTGTCATGTCAAGCACTTCCATTTCAGCCCCTGTACAAGTGACAGTGATAGGGTGCTAGTACCAGCAGCCATCAGGCTGCTCCTGCACACTCCACCCAGGAGAATGGCACACTTAAAACACTGCCTGGTTTTAATATGACTTAATTGGTGCTTTCCAGAGCCTGTGTGCACGAATAGACCTCAATGACCACAAAGAGCCTCACCCGGGCCCAATCCCTTTACCCACATGCCAGGAGCACTGTTGAAGCTGATTATTGTTGAAGCTGATTGTTGAAGCTGATTATTTGAGCTCAGTCTAGAGCCCTCACTCCCTGCCTGGCTGTGGTCCCTGCTGAAGTGTGTTCTGATTTTCTGGCTCAGTCTTGGCCCCAGCTCATTACAGAGGCTCCTTGTGTTCCCCTCCTGCCAAGGACCAGCAGCCCTTTGTGAAAAACAGGTGGTGCCAGGGGAGGAAAGCCAGCCTGCCCGGAGCACAGGGAGCCATGGGCGTGGTTGGCAGAGCCAGGGCCTCTTGCTGCAGGGTGCAAGCAAGGCTCAGACCTGGGGCTGGGTGTATTTCTGGGCTCAGGGAAGGGGCTGGCTCTGCAGGACTCTCTGCAGCCTGGAATACTGAAAACCCTGTGGAGGGAAAAAGGATTTGGGAAGCTCTGGACAAGAGCTTCAGGAGCAGGCTGCTGCTGGGAGCTGCTCACCCTGTTGGCCACAGAATGATCAACCCTTCAGTGCCACTATCCTTTCCCAATGACTCTGGGGGCCATGCGCTCCACATCTAGCCTTAGTGCAGCACTTAAATGAGAGCAATAGGGAAGAGACTGCTTAGGGAGGCAAAGCTCTGTCTAACTCTAAGGACAGAGCCCTGTGGGTCCCCTCCAGGCAAGTGTTGTAGAGCAGGCTGTGCAGGGTATGCTTACGACAGCAGCATGATCAGTGTATTTATAGGATACAGATACAGGGGTGACTGCAGAGAAACCTCTGCAGAGTCACAGCTACCACACACACCATGGGCTATGGCAGGTGCCCAGCGAGAGCATGCAGATTCACAGTATTAGCAGTGAGCTGCCGGATGGGTGTGCTGAGCCCTCCCCAGGCTCTGCAGAGACTGCTTTTGGTCACCAGAGAACAGTCAGCGCAGACCCTGCCTGACAGCCAGCAGCAGGGCAGGACAGCACCGGACATCTGAGTGCAGGCCTGGAGCCTACAGCACCGCTCGTGTGGAAGTCTTGGCCGGACTGATGGGGTTCGGATGCCAGTTCAGCACCAGAATCCCCTCCAATCGTGCTCAGAACACCAGCACACGGCCCCTGCTTGGTGCCGAGGCCAGCGGGCGGTCAGCGGCTCCAGAGTGCAAAGAGGGCGGGCGCGGTGGCCGGGGACAGCCAGCAGTGCTCCACCACGCCGTAGAGCGCGTAGCCCAGCAGCAGCCCGAAGAGCACGTCCGTCATGTTGTGCCTGCCCAGCATGACCCGGGAGATGCTGACGATGAGAGCCCAGAGCACCACGAGCACGCGCAGGGGGACGGCCAGGACCAGGTGGCGCAGGACGAAGCGGCAGACGAGAGCGGCCCTGGTGGCGTGGCCCGAGGGGAAGGAGTACTTGTCCACCGAGATGGTGACGAACATGTCCATCTTGTTGTGCGTGGGCCGCGGCCGCTTGACGAGCCCCTTCACCACCGCCACCATCACCAGGTCCAGCAGCAACGCTGGAGAGACAGCAACAGGGGTTACTGAAGGCAGAACCATCAGCTGTCAAAGCTGCCCAAAGGTGATGTTTTTCCCCATGGCTGCAAGACCCAGGCAGGGAGAGCACAGCACACAGCTGCTCTTGGCCTTTTGCAGCAGAAAGAGCACATCCTCAACCTCTGCTCCTCTGCGCTCACCCGTCCTGCACCACCAGCCCCTCAGCCTGCCACAGCCGACAGGGCTCTGCCCGGCCTGCACCCCAGGGCTTTTCTCTCTGTGCAGAATCTGATCTTGCCGTGACTCGGGGCCCAATCTGCTCCTTAATCTGAGGGCAGCAGAGGCATTAAGTCCCCAGAGCTCCCTTCCTGGCAGTGCTGACTCTGCATTGTGTCTGCCCTGCTGACCGGGGTCAAACCGACTGGGTGAATGATCAACCCCCTCCCTGCTGGCACAGGTCAGCGGGAAATGCTCAGGGCTGGTGGGCTGCCAGGGCTCCTGGGGTCTGCCTTCTCCCTGCCGCTCGGGGAAAAGTTAACCCTGCTCTGGTTCTCAAGACGTGAATCAAGGATAATTTATGGTGGCTTGCCCCTGAGAGCTAAAGGCTGCTGTCACAGACGAGGCAAAGCACCTGTGATAAATGTTCAGCCAGTATTTGGCAAGAGCAGCTTCTCATGTAGGGCAAAGGGTGCTTTCTCCATCCCTGTTAGCTCAGCTTAGCACAGCACCCACAGCCTGGGCTACTTCTTGTTGTGTAAGAGACCAACTTCTGGGAAGGGGCTGGCTAAGACACATTTCTGGACACCAAATCTTTTGGTCACTTCAGTTCATTTCCTTTGGTTAATCATTTAAGACCAAAGTTTCTTTTTTTTTTTTTTTTTCTCACATGTAAAACTAGTTCAATTGCTTTTTCTACACAGGAACTGGGAGATTCAAGTTGGACATGAGGGAATCCTCCTTCCCCACATGGGTGCTGCAACCCAGGGGCAGATCCCCAGAGAGGTGGGTGGCTCTCGCCCAGAGCACCGAGGTGCTGGGACAGCTCTCCTTGGAGCAAAGGTTAGGCTGGAGGCATCCAGTTCTGCTGTGGGGCTCCAATTTAACCATGTGCTGCTAGATGAGAAGGGAAACATAGATTTGTGCATCTATCAAGCAAATTTCAATTCAAAATTGAAGTGTGAGATCCTAATTATTTGCAACTTAATACAAGAGTAACATCAGGGAATCAAAAGGTCTGGTGCCCTGGAGCTATTACAGTTCCTAAATAAGCAAAAATTAATCCCCTTAAATATACCTAGGATGTTCTGTGTGTGTGTGAAATACTACACCACGCAGGATTAAAATTTGTGCTTTGAGCCAGGTTTCCTCACTGGCTGGTACAGAACAATCCACGAAGGCCCTGCAGGCAGGGAGCCATGGGTCTGTGTGCCAGAGCAGCTTTTCAGGGAAATGCCTGGTGTCTCAACACTCGGCAGCGCACCTGGAACGTGCTGTTGTGACAAGCTCGGGGAGCTGAGAGGCTTCAGCCTCGAGAGCGTTTTGTAACTGCAGGAGCAGTTTAGCAGTCGGGAGTTTGCCAGCTCATGGTTGCAGCTGTGACAAATGACTCGTGTCGGTGTAAGCTGCAGGGTCACTCCTCTGCCACCAGACATCCCGGGTGAGCCTGCACAGGTTGCTCAAAATCAGCCGGTGCTCTCGGGGCTTCGGCTTACCCAGCTCTGCCCCATCCCTCGGGTCGCCCTCCCCAGCCCCGGGGCGAGCCCCCGCCTCACCGAAGAGCAGGTTGAGCAGCACCTCCCTGGCCGCCGAGCTGTCACTGTGGCAGAGCCCGTAGAAGGTGCCGAGCAGCCAGGGGATGCCGTGCCCCGACACCTCGATGACCTTCATGAGCGGGCGGGCGCTGCCCCAGGCCGAGCCCTCCCCAGCGCACACCCCCAGGCGCTTGGAGGCCCAGAGGTCGATGGCGAGCAGGGAGCTGAGGGCGATGCCCACGAAGGACGGGTTCAGCTTCATGCAGTCCTCCTCGGGCAGCGGGGCGGCGGCGGCGCCGGCGGGCTCCCTGCGGCGGGAGGGGCTCTCGGGGGCGGCGGGCCCGCGCTGGCTCAGGGACAGGAACTCCAGGCGGCCGCCGCTGCCGGCGCGCCGCTCGCGGCTGCTCCGGGGGCTCGGCATGATGACGGCGAGCGGCCTGCGGGAGGCGGGCGCCGGTCACCCACTGCCAGGCCCGCTCGGGACCCGGCATGTCACCCTGCCCGGGGCCGCTTCCCTCTCCCCCTCCCCGCGCCCTGCCCGTTATCCCCGCCCCGCGCTACCGCACGGCCGGGGCGCGGTGCCCCCGCTCTCGGCGCGTCCCCAAGGACGCGGAGGGTGCGGCGCGCCCGCGCTGCCCCCGGTACCGGGCGGCCCCGGCGCCGCTTCCGCTTCCTGTTCCGCTTCCGCCCGTGACGCGCTCTCGGCTCCCGGTGCGCCCCGCCCACCGGCGCGCACGTGCCCGCCGCGGCCGGCGTACGGCGGCCGGCGAGGGCCGGAAGAGACGCGGCGGCGCCTTC